ATATCCAATCTTCTGTCATATGATCATGGTATCCAATTAAATGTAAGATTTTGTTTACACGCTATCCTAGATACATACGCCATTCTAGATGGCAGGAAACCATACACTCCGTATTGCAAGCATACTACGTTCCTGGTACATATGTGTAACCAATAAATACTTATCAGATAAATTAACTAATAAATCCATATCAATAATGTACCACAATCGATACATATAAGAAAATGCAAATTGCAAATCTAAACCTTTTTTATCCAACAATTTTTAAAGAAATAATGGATTCAAAATTAAAAATCGAAATCGTTTGATACAAGTTCAAGAAATAACGATATTTCAAATCGACCCAAAGTAATTGTGCTATCCAAAACAGACGATGAGCCAGTGCTAGTAATTTTTTTATTTTAATAATAATTATAATGATAAATTAATATTGTATAATGATAATAAGCTTGTATTAAAGGAATTAGCATCGAATTCATTTATTCGATATTATGAAGTATTATTTGCACTATTGCCGTGGTTTGGTATTTGATTGTAAATTATTTAGAAAAAAATTAACTAACAATTTCATGAACAGGATTTACAAATTTCTAGCAGCTCTGAAAGTGAATATAATAGTGACAATAATTTAAATGATAATAATATACTTGAAAGTGATTTGGAAACTAGTGATAACTATGAGGTATACTGTAATAATTATCTATATAATTTAATATTAATGTGTATAACTTATACATACAGTATGTAGTAACTAATTACGGATCTTATAATTATGTAGCATCAACCAACATTTGCCCAATTTGGTCGCAATTTAACCGTCGATCAAGTAGAATATTACCTTGAGTTTCAAGAATATTCTAAAACTTCTGAAACTGGTGTCGCTAGTATCTACAATATTTCTGGTTGGAAACCAGATGATGCTAAAAATGCTTTTGGAATTTCTAATATCCAATATGCTTATAGCAATCCTGGAACTATTCAATCAATTTAGAAATGTCTATTTTTAGGTGTACTTGTCAAAAAAACTTACCGCTTGTGCTTTAGTATAAAAGTTTGTGAATTTAGCTTAGCAACTCTCAATATTGAACATATATCAGTTAATTTTGAAGATTAACTTTATAAAAACATCTTCGACGCGAATGAATTTTCAGTTGATACATTTACTCTTAAGTAAGTAATAATATTTAATTTATAAATAATAATATGTAAATTTATTTACTTTTTAATATTAAAAATTTTATTATAATTTTTTAGCATATACGGTCAAGCTTATAATATACCATGTTCTTATATTGATCTAATTACTAATATTCACTACAATAGAGTTTCTATTTTTAGAGAATATAAACAAGTATGTAGATACGTATGTAAAATATTAAACATATATATTTTTAATTTAATAATTTATTATTTTAGATTGATAATACATTGACGATTCAAAAGTTTATTGGATGTCAAAAATATCAATTCAGCCAAAAAGGGTATTGTTATATTTTAATTAGTCAGTGTGCGAATATGGACTACCTTGAACAATTATTTCAAAATTATACATACTGTTCAAATGAAATTAACAGAAAGGTACATATATATATATTATTAAAACAAATGTTTATTTATTATAAAAGGAAATCATAGGCATTTCTCGTAGGATATATATAAGTTATATATCTCCTACAACCAAATTCATTTAAGGTAGGGTTAGAGTTTGTGTTAAGGTTAGTGTTAGTAATAGTACCTATAGTAAAATTGCCCAAGGAAAATTTTTGTTAGTGCACGAAAGGTAGTTTCTTATGCAAATATTCAAAAAATAAATGATTTTTGAAAAAACAAAGTTTGTTTTGATCTTCATGATTGTGCTACGTTATACTAAATTCTGACGAAATTCTGGCTCATCATTGGGCAATTCATGGAAATACGCATCTCCTGCAGGAGATGCCTAAAACTACCCTATTATAAATATCTAATATTAATTTAATTATAGAATTATACAAATAAATCTGTTAATGAATATTTCACAGTTTTCCCAAATTCTTCTACAATGATCCATTGTTATGAGTATAATTATTTCAAATTAAGGTGCCCAGACTCATGCAAATTAAATTGCATTTTTATACAAAATCTTGATTATGTGAATTAAAAACAAATAGCAATAATAATAACCAATTAAATAAATTAGTAAAGCAGTCAAAATTCAGCAGATCAACCAAATTCAAAAGTCAGAATAGACCCTAAGCTAGGCTGGCATTAGCAATAATATTAGTTAACTATACTACAGCAAATTATTATCTAGGCAGCTTTACTTTGTACGTGGGTTACTAATTTATCAGTAAAATTTCTAATTTTGGAAGAAATTTGTTAATTTCAGCCTATCCCAACCCTAAATTTTGGTCGACCTACTGAGTTTTAGTTGCACAGCTAATCTATTCTAAGCGATGATTATGATGCCAAACTACATACTTTTTTTAATTGTTGGATATCAAATTTTGATCAAACATTTTTTTATTATATTAATATTAGTCGATTTGCACTAAAATTAATTTATATATTACTAGTTCAATAAGTAGCACTTTGCGCCACCTATCTTATTCAAAAATTGTTTTTCTACTTTAGTTTTTTTAAAAAAAATACAAAATATGTTTGTGTTTAAAATAATTTATAATTCATTATCACTGTAAAAAAATTTAAATATTTCTATTTTATCTCTTTAGTTTTTGTAAAAATTCTGTGATTCTGTAATTTGAATTTTGTAAACCGAAATTTCTATTATTTAAAAGTATAAATTCTATAAATATGTAACTTTTACAGATAAAAGAATCTAAAACATGAATTGTAGCCCAAATATTAATTTGGCTAAATTATAAATTTAGTTAGCCCAGACTAGGGTTGTAAAATAACAGTAATTTATTGGCAAGTAACCAAAATTGTTACTTACTGGCAACTTATGATAAGTTGCCACAATATATAAAGAGCCTTACAGCAAAAGGTGGTGATAGGCCAAAAAAATTTTTTGCAAAAATTCGATCATCTAGAAAACAATATCAAAAAACTACAAAAAAAATTTTGTGGCCTATTACCACCTTTTGCTGTGAGACTTCCCATATTTTGAACTATTGGAATTAAAATTTTTGCTTATCAAATTTATGTCATGATTATTAATATTAAAATGAGTAATTGTCACATAATTTATTATATAGTTCTTATGATGGTAACTTAGGTAACTTACTGGTAACTTACAATTGGTAAAGTTATTACTAAAACAACCCTGGCTGAGACATTTGGAAAATTTGACCATGTTTTATTTGGGTTGTCCCAATTAACAATCGGGCTAAATTGTTATTTTGCAAAAAAAATTTCTCAGTCATAATAATTAAGTAATTATATGATAATTGTATAGTGATAGCTCGATTTATCAAATTAGCTAAATATCATAACTTGTAATGACCAATAAAATGTTCAAATACACAGTTTGTCACTTAAATTTCTCTAGTTCAGTTTAATTCGCCAACAATCATTTCATTGAATGCTTATTTAGCTGATATTATCTAGGGTTAGGATTAAGCATTTGATTAGTTGTGAAT